AAGAGATGCCTTGCAACTGTCGGGGAGACAGGCACTTCAAGACAAGATAAAACAAATGCATCCATATACTTCCCTAAGGATAAACATCAGGGACTGACATTCTAAACAGGTCTCTATCACCATGGGAAAGCCAGGGAGACTCACTAACCCAACCCCCTCCAGGAAAAGCCCCTGCTCTGTATTCATCCCCACTTCCTACATGACTTGCTTCCCCATTTGATCCCAAGTTAATCAAATTTACCTGAGCAACTATATTCGTAATCTTATTGGTTGACCAGTTTTGTCCCACCTCATACCCACCTTGTGATTTCCCATTTTTCCCACCTTGGATTCACCTCACCTCGTGGATTTGCTCTATAAAAATTCCAAGAAAAGGCAGGGTCCTTGGCAATCCACTCAGGACCCCCTTCTGTCTCTCTCTCAGACAGAAGTTTTATCTCCCCCAATCAATACATTCTGCTTTTAACCTCTGTTGTTCCTGAAATTTATTCTTCGATTTTTTTTTTTTTTTGCCTTTTCTTCTGGTACCAGGAATCAAACTCACGACCTTGCGCTTGCCGGGCAGGTGCTTTGCCGCTGAGCTAAATCCCCAGTTATTCTTCGATTTTTGAGAACATGAACTCATCCCAGATATCTAGCAGGTTGGGATTTTCTTTCCCCTATCACTAACACTAAACCACTCCACCCCTGTGGGGCTCTGGTCCCAGGCCAAAAGAATGCCTCTGTCCTGGGGCCACAGTGGGGCAGGCAAAGCTGAGGGAAGCAGCAAAAGAGCCATCAGCATCCTCTTCTCTGTCTCAGCCTCCCGGGCTGTGGTCCAACCACAGCCACTCTCAGGACCAGCACAGAAGCCAGGGGATTACAGTTCCATGAGGCCGATGCTCAGGATAACCAGCTTAACTTGAAGGGAAAGAATGCACTTTCATCTTTGTATCTTCAACCTGGAGGAAGGAGATATAGCAGGGCTTTCTTTTTTTTCTTTTTGAGACAGGGTCTCGCAATGTAGTCTGCACTGGCCTTGAACTCACTTTGTAGCCCAGGGTGGCCTTGAACTCAAAGCAGTCCTCCAGCCTCAGCCTCCCAAGTGCTGAGATTACAGCTCTACACCACCATGCCCAGCTACAGCAGCGCTTCTTAAGGATAGCTTATTCATAATCATGTCTGAATCTAAATAAATGAGACCATTTTCAATAAATGGTGCAGCAGAGTATGGCTAAAGAGAAGAGAAGTATTTAACTACAAAGATACTGTTTTCTAGGCTCGGGTTTCAATGGCTTATTTAATAAAAGCACAGAAGAAACATCACACAAGAGGAATTTGACGGAAGGGAGACTTGAAATTTGTTCCAAAACATGGACCTCACTAAGTAAAAGCAGAAGAGGGACTGCATGTGCGTGCACATGTGTGTGTGAGTGTGTGAGACTGTATGTGCAGAAGATACATGCAAATGTTTTCCCTGTCAATAGATGATCTCTGCTCCACGGGTCACCCAAAGCTATGATGAGGACTGTGTTACCCAGAGACACGTGACGATTACACCGAAGAGCTGGTGCCCAGGCCTGCCAACGCCCCTCACCTACACGGCCTGTCAGTGCAGACTGTGGAAGCGCCTGCCCCTCTGGGGACAGAAACATGCTGCCCCGAAGACGGAGCTTTCACCAGTCAGGCACGCGGTGTGCAGTGCGTTCCGTCAGCCTCTCAGCGGACCAGGATGATGACACTGGGTCCCTGAGGTGTACAAACACCAGCTTGCACCTGCAGGGCACACGACCGTGAGTCCCAGCTACCCCAGGCACAGAGTAACAACAGGAGCTGAGATGCCCAGCAGGCACAGTTGTGGGACGGAGGGATGAACTCAGCACAGACCAGAGCCAACGTCAGATCTCACCTGTGCTCTGCTTATGCGCTCAGGTTAGCGTTTATCACAGCAGCCTGCAAGACGATGTCTGTCCTCCAGGAACTACACCTTCCTGTCATCTCTGGCTCCATGGCAGCCTTAGATAGCACTGTGCTCAATAACTGTAAGCGTCAATTCCCAATTTCACAGGAAAAAGGAGGAGCCACCGCTCTAAATGAAATACGACACACTTGGAAGGTACCAGCCTTATTTGGAACCAGTACAATTTATGTTTTCTCCTCCTGTTCACATCCACTCTTTTCTGGAGGGACCATGAAAAGATCAGGACCAAAAAATAGAAAAGGTATGACAATAGTAATAACAAGCCAGGCATGGTGGCTCATGCCTGTAATCCCAGCACTGGGGAGGCTGAGGCAGGAGGATCGTAGTGAGTTTGAGGCCAGCCTGGGCTACAAAGTGAGCTCAAGGCCAGCCTGAATTGTACAGCGAGACCCTGTCTCAAAAAGGCAAGAAAAGGGGGCTGGGGATGTAGCTCAGCAGCACAGCACCTGTCCGGCAAGCGCAAGGTCGTGAGTTCAATCCCTGGTACCGGAAAAACAACAACAACAAAAAAAAAAGGCAAGAAAAAAAAAAGGACAATAGCAATAATAATCCAGCATATAGAAGTATTTTTTTGTTTTGTTTTGTTTTGTTTTTATAGCATATAGAAGTGTTAATGAAATCCTAAAGAACCCTACATCCCTACTGCTGCACACCCTGGCCTAGTGCTTTTTTTGTGTTGTGGGTTTTGTGTATGGTACTGGGGGTTACATCTAGGGCCTTAAGCATGCAGGGCAAGTGCTCTGCCCCTGAACTACAGTAGCACTCGCCTAGTAATTTTTTAATCCCTTTAATCTTGAAACACCTTGCACCCTTTTAAGTTCATGGCCCAAGACATGCACCACAGCCACTCCAATATATAGGATCCATAAAATTCACTCAAGTCTCACCAAGTACAGAAGAAAACTGGCAACAAAGTTTGCTCTTCTCCTAAATCATAAGGACACTGTTATGGTTTGTGTCTGGATGTCCCCCTAAAGCCTCACGCAGTCATGGTGCCAGCTTCTAGAGTTTATGACTGATCCATGGTCCATGCTGGGATTATGGGTGTGAGTGCTACACCCACCCTGGGGCTGATAGTTTGCATATGTAAGGGAGAGAAAGAGGCAGCTTGCTGCCTCTCCTCCCTTTCACTCTTGCTGTTTTTTGCTATCTTCTGCTGTGGCCATGAACTATATAGCCCTCTGCCATGTGCCACCCTGCCTTGGAGCCAGCTGAGTGGACTGAAACCTCCACACACTGGGAGCTAAATAAACCTTTCCTTCCTTAATTTTGGGTATCAGGTATTTTGTCTCAGCAACAAGAGAAAACTAAGACAGCCACACATTTTAAAATGTAGGCATAGAAGTTAAAAATTATATCTGCTGAATTGAGAAAGTATCTGACCAAAAAAAAAGAAGATCCCATATAGTCAGAAATATCCCCAGCTAATAACATGCCACTGGTGAGGACATGCCAGGGAGCTCTTCTGGCTGATTCAGTCACTTGAAGAACCAGTTACACAAAAATGCACATATCTTTTTCAGTCAAATACTTTGTTACTTCCAAAACTCGTTTCCCTAACCCTAACAGTACACAATTTCTACAACTCCTTCTAGACACACCTCCAAAGATAAATTCCTTCTAGTGAAGTGTTAGACAGTCTTAACCGTGTGTGTGTGTGTGTGTGTGTGTGTGTGTGTGTAACCCTAAATAAGATGGGTACAAAATTTTCTTATACTGCTTTTGAAAAGCACATACACTTATCCTGCTCGTTAGATCTAGGGATATATTTCTTTTTTACTGCTTAGCCATCCTTTCTACAGATCCTTCTCCCCAGTGAACCCAGAACCTTAAACAATTCTTAGCATTCTTGCCCCAAGTGAAAGGGTTTCTTCACGCAAAGGCAAAGCACATAAAGGACAAGGACTGCATTGAGCTTGGTGGACTGGGGTATTTACTTCTACCAAAAACTAACAGGGATGGCATGGGAAAAGGGATTATCATGGTCAAACAAGTTTAGGAAACACTACATTAAATAAAATTAAACATGCTTTCTACTGTAGGATTCTCTGGGCCTTTATCACTATGTAACAGTACTCTCCAGAAGGAAAGGATGGTATGTGATGGTTCCCCAGTTTACTTCACTACCCAGTTGGTTGTTGTTGTTTTGAGGGGATTTTTGGTGCTGGGGATTATATAGACTCAGCATGCCACACCACCAGCCAAGAGGTTTAAATTTCAAGTACAATATTACCCGTTAGCCTTCACAGTAAAGCATATTATGAGAGACACACCGTGAGAACCCCACGTTAGGAGTTAAAGTGCTAACAGAACCTCAGTGTCAGGTGCTAACTTACAGGATCTCCTATCACCCCTGCTCTGTCTGGACATGGGCCCCCAAGGGCTCCTGTGTTGGAGGCTTGGCCCCCAACACAGGAAGGGGCTATGGCAGGGCTGAAGTGGTGTGGACCTTTCCAGGTGGGACCCAGAGAGAGTCCTTGTCAGCTGAGGGTGCAGCCCTCAGTAATGCTCCTGCAACCCTGCAGTGGTTCTTGCAAATACAGGCTGTTAGAAAAGCCTGAGGCTGCCCCAAGCCACTCTCTGCTTGCTCCCTTGCCTTGTGATCCTGCCACCCTGAGATCCTCCCCCAGAGTGGAGCAGATACGGTGCTGTAGCCCAGAATCTCTGGAGCTGTGAGCTAAACACACCTCCTCCAGCACGAGTGGGCCTCTTAGATACTTTGTTATAGTGATGAAAAGCTACCAGAGCACCACCTCCCTCTTCTTAAACCACTGACTGCACCTTCAGAACCATAGGAAACCATATTCAAATGCATATGCTTAGGAAGGAATGCCACACCTGTAAGAACGCACAGTGACTGGATGCATACATTCACCTTTACAACAAAAGTCAATCAAACTTCAGCCACCTGCTGTTCTGCATCAACGACAGAATCAAATGACCTAAGGCCTGTAGAAAGCACTCACCTCTGTATGTTTCAATTTCAAATGGTAAAAGCTACCCAATTTCAGTATTTTAACATAATGAAAAGAAGACTTACCAACAGAAGCTGAGCTTTTAAGCACCGACTCCTTTGGGGCACCTTTTTCAATTCGGAGTGTGGCCCACTGTTCAAAGAAACAAATATTAATTTAAACTCCCAAAGTTTAAATTAAATGGAAAATAAAGTTTAAATGGAAACTACTTAACCCATGCTTATACACAAGGGAAATTAAACACTAAATTCTGGCACTTTTTGCTTTAATGAACCACTCCAGTTAATCTGGTATTGTGGCCTTGTAAGTCCTAGGTACACCCTTCTTTTAGTCACTGATGAAGCCCCCATAAACACAGGAACAATATTCACCCTATCTAAATCCCCTCGCATCCATCTGTGCCTGGTACATTACTCCTTGGAGGCTGTGAGGCACAGTGGGCAGAACAGGCTATGGCACGAAGAAGACCTGGGCATGAGGACTGGAGGTGTAGCTCAATGGTTGAGCACTTGCCTGGCCTGCCAAAGGCCAGAGTTTCATTCCCAGCGCTGTTAGGTCCTCAGTTTTCTCATCCTAAAAGGAGGATAAGCATTCCCATCCCGCAGGGTTGCTGTCACAATTAAAAAACACCGTGCAAAACCTAAATTGGGACACAAAGCGAGCAAGCTACTTTCATAGAAAACTAAGCATTCAGGTGTGAGATACACTTAAAGAGGCATGAGACGTAAGATTGCAGAGGGGTGAGAATGTAGCTAGGGGGCAGAGTGCCTGCCTGGCATACAGAAGGTCCCTGGCTTAGATCCTCAGCCTGCAAAGAAAAGAAAGAATTCGTAGCTAAAAAAAGCGATGCATCCCCCTGGTTGCTTATCTACTAAGTTGCCTAGGGAA